GGGGGGGGTAGGGACCAAGAACAGGGTGTTGGAAGATCTTAGAAGGCTCTTGAGGTGATCCATGTCTGGTTGGGGATGGCAGAGGTGGTATGGATCTAGTACTTTCCTATGGGGAGGGCTTGTTAGCGGGCCCCATGGCCAGTAAGAACACAAACAGAGGCTAGCGTGTCCTGTTCTCTCCCTCTCTGCCATATGTGATGATCTGAGTTCATCTAATATTTGGAACACAAAAGCTAAATTCCTGGGTAGCCAAAGAGTTTGTTGAGCTCATTAGAGTTAGGTCTGATAGGATATAACTTTGTATTGAGATCTGTCAGTAACATTCATTTAGCTAGAAACCTCCCATCTTCTGGATTTCCACAGGGGTTTTTATTCATGATAAGACTGCTTTCTTGGTCAGGGAAATTTTAACATAGCTGCGATTAATCTTGAAAAAAATCATATCTTCTAAGAAATATGATAGCCAAAAGAAAAGGAATATTTAAAAATGATAAAGGAGCTAGGCTGGAGTGGCTCAGCTGGTTGAGAGTCAACTCATGGACCTGGAGGTCATGGTTCAATTCCCAGTCAGGGCATAGGCTCAATCCCTAGTAGGTGGTACGCAGAAGGCAGCTGATCAATGATTCTCTCTCATCATTGATGTTTCTCTCTCGCTCTCCCTTCCTCTCTCTGAAATCAATAAAAACATAGTTAAAAAATAAAAATAAAAATGATAAAGGAAGATTTTTGATGTAGTTTCTTTGGTTTTTGAGTTGACATGGAGTTAGAAGCCTTTGCATTATTTAAGAGCACATCCTTGCCAATGTTTAAAGAGCTGTCGGTGCCCAGGCCCCACCGTCTCAAAGCATTGTTAAAGCTTGCTCTGAAATAGTAAAGATAAAGGTCTCGTTTGCAAAAGTCAAATGCTTGGCTTATAATGTGCAGCCTAACTCTATAAAATAATAGTAAGTTCGAAGTTAAGAAAGTGGAAGATAATTGAATTCTTAAAAAGCTGAAAGAAACTTTTTTGTGCTAATGTTGTGATTCAAACATTTGAAGAGAAAATTCCTGCACTAATGTTGCCCAGGTGAAATACATGGTAGAAGTTGTATTTACCTATTACATTGGAAAAATAGCCTGGCAGTCATTTTTTAACATGGGGCCCACTCTAGCTCACATACTGGCAATGATGGTTGCTGGCTTTCAATGCTAGAGCCTCCAGTTGCCTTTGTAGCATTTTTTGGTAGTGAGAGAGCTGCATAGTTGCTTAGCCAGTGTGCTGTGGGGGCAGAAGTCAGGCCTTCGTGTGATAAGTTTCCGTGCGTTTTGTTTTTTAGACATTACAAGAAGCGGTGTCAAGGGCGCATGCGGAAGCACGTGGGGGACCTGTGCCTGCAGGCGGGCATGCTGCAGGACTCCCTGGTGCATTACCACATGGCCGTGGAACTTCTCCGCTCAGTGAATGACTTTCTGTGGCTTGGAGGTAAGATGAGGATGATCAGGTATGTGATTGTAGCGATTGTTATTTGAAATAAGGGAAAACAGAAAAATGGCTCTAAAAACAAAGGCCGAGGGAGGAGAGGCAGACAACCGGCTGGACGCTGTGGGCAGTCACCAGGCAACTCCCTGGCCTCGCCTCACGCACTCCACCCAGGCCTGCGCCCCAGTCCCACTGGCGCACAGGCACCCTCTCCTTTACAGTGTACTGTTTCCCTGGCCCTCTGTTTTTGAGGTTTAGCACACCTTGCCCTCTGCTTAGAATGCCATTCCCCATGCCAGTCACCTCTTACGCTCATTCTTCAAAACCTCGCTCACACGTCAGCTGGTGAATGGGTCAGCTGTGTGGTATATCCAGATGGTGGAGTGGACATGCAAATGAGTGAAATACTAATGCCGCTACACCACGGACCACGCTTGATAACATCATGTTATGTCAAAGGAGCCAGACTCCAAAGGCTGCTTATTGTATGATTCCCGTGATCCGGAACATGCAGAGCAGGCAGCTCCAGAGAGACTGGGAGCAGATGACTGGTTGCCAGGAGCTGGGCCGAGGGAGGAATGGGGAGCGACTGCTCGTGGGGATGGGGTTTCTTTAGGGGCGATGGAAATGTTCTGGAATTGGATAGTGGTGATAGTTGTACAACTGTGAATATACGAAAAACCACTGACTCATACACTTAAGTGGGTGAGTTTTATGGTATGTGAATTATGTCTCAGTTAAAAAAAAACCTGCTTCAAAGGACAAGCCTCTTCTGACCCCACCAGATAGTGGTGCCTGCAGCATCTCGTGCAGAACCCTGCCTGTATGTTTTGCAAGCGCCTGTTAAATAAATGTGTAAGCAAGGACCAAAACAGGGTTCTGTCCTGGAAGAAGCTGACAGTTTAGCTGGGGTCCTGTCTGCCAGCCGCTTCTGAGAAATATAAATCAGAATGCAGGAAAGAAGTAAGTGCTTTAATAGTTGTCCAGCAGCATGCTGTGGACACATTAATGTCAGAAATAATTAATATGGCATTAAATGTCATAACTTGGCTTCTTAGGGAAATAAAAGTGGGAAAGAAAAGGAGCGAGAGCTAGGAATATATGGGAAAGAAGAGAGGAACAGACAAGGGATTAAGCAGGATGAGAAAGAAAATGTGAGTTTTACTTGGCTTTCTTGAAGAAGTCTGTAACTCGTTATTGACCAGGGGAATATATCCGTACCCTAGTGAGCTGTACCGTTAGGGCCTCTGCAGCAGGCACATATCCAGAAGAAGGGTCCCCACTCATGTCTCTGACTCACATAGCAACAGCTGGGTGGGAGGGCTCTGGAGGTGGAGTGTGGGAGATGGGCTGTGCTGTATGCTGCGGCCTTTTCTCTTTCAGTCCCAAATAAAGTACAGGGGAGTGTCCCAGAGGCTACGTGACGCCGGCCACCATGCCAGACTGAATGTAGAAGCAGGTGCGATAATCCAGTTCACTTGTATTAAGCCAGACATCGAGGACATTTGTAAAAATGTAAAACAATGCCACTCTCCTAGCATATTATTTATGTTTTGGAAAATAATTATTTTTTCTAAAAATTTAACATGTCACGGGCTTCTTCTTATTTTAAAAGGGATTACCACATAAATATTTAAATCCTTTTGTAGTTTTATTTTGAATATGGTAAATACCTCTAGCTGTATCCTACACACACACACACACACACACACACACACACACACAAGCTCTTTGTGATCCTCAATATTTTTTTAGAGTGTCAGAGAGTTTTAAGAACTGCTATACTAATGAATGAAGGTAAATACTGCTGCACAACTTACAAGGCACGTGGCCTAGCTTGAGATCCTTAGGATATAACTGCCAATGACAGAAGAATGAAATGTATTCCAAGTAAATGTGGCTGCCTTTGAGAAGGAGACAAGCCCATAGGTGTTTGCTCCAAATGGAATAGATGCATTTAGGGTGTCTAGTCCTGCTTTTGTGGTATTGCTTTTAAATATTGTCAGTCCAGGGCACTTCCTGCACATCATAGCGTCAGAATCTGGCACAGAACCTGCCGCCCAGTGAACACTAAACTGTTGGTTAAATGAATGGATGGACAGCTGAGGGGCTGGCCCATTTCACTTGCAGATGCAGTCCATCCGTGGAACCTTGAGCATCGTGAGAGTGTTCTGTGGTGCCAGCCTGGACACGGGCATGTGAAAGATGATCGGTGGCATGTTCTTGTTTGTAACAAAACCAGGGATCTGTAGGCTTGATCTTTGTTTGGGGGAAAATTGGCATTTCCACATGAAGTGTTCTGATCATTCCTAGGCACTGAGAATTGAGCTGATGATGGGCCACTGACTTTACTAATTGTCCTTTTTTATTTTTTATGCCCAGCTGCCCTTGAAGGGTTGTGTTCGGCTTCTGTTATCTATCACTATCCTGGTGGGACTGGTGGCAAGAATGGAGCTCGCAGGTTCCATGGGGGCTCACTTCCTGCCGAGGCAGCCAACAGACATCGACCAGGTGAGTGCTGCTCTTTCCTTGGTCTGGACTTGGTCACAGTCCTTAAGCAAGCAGGAGTCACTGGTTACTTCTGCCTCTGAGTAAAACCTGATTAATGTTTAAATAAAGTGTAGCGTCTGTGGAGTCAGACATCTTGTACATGAGACTTTTTCTTCTGATTTTATTGAATATTTATCCATCTTATTGAGTTTTATGAATAGTATTAATGATTTCAGTGATTGATTGATTTCTGGAACACTTGTGTCAATTTCAGGGTAGACCGACCTGAAAGTGCTGTGTGTGGAGTTCTTTCTAATTGCTGGGTATTTAGTGAAGCTAACCCCAGAGGTTGGTTTTAATGTCTAATTCAGGGCCTAGGGGCTGTTTCTTACTCTCCCAGGTGATGAGACTTCTTATAGTCAAATCTGAGTTGCTTATGTTTGTTAGCCGTGATAAAGCATGAAACATCTTTGGAGGGGAGACTCACATATGATTGTTGAATGAACTTGCCTGTAATGGTTCAGGAGATAGTTGTCACATGGCAGAGGTCACAAAGATAATAACAAAGAATGCAGAGATCAAGGCTAGACACAAAACTGCTAGGCGTCCTTTGTTCTGTGAGATTTTTAGACACGTTTCCCCCCGAAGAGAAAGCCCGTGGAAGTTAATGTGTATAGGGTGGGGAAAGGTCTTGAATTCCTTTCCCCCTGAATTATACCACCCCTATTAGGAACAAAGATTGCAGAGACCACCTTTCTATATCAGTCACGATAGCTACAGCCTGAGCCTGGATGCCCTCTCTGTGGAACAAACGGCTTAGCTGACTCTATAATGGTTCTCGAAGATATTTTATCATTCTTCAGCAGAGCTGTTCCTAGTGATCAGAGAGGAAGGTGAAGCATGCTGAGAGGGGATAAAGGAAGTCTGAGGTTAAGAATGCGTGCCTCTGCTGCTCCCTTTCCTGCGCTCTAGGGAGCTCCAAGGTTGAAGTACTAGTTTCCCCCTGTGACTTGAAGTTAGGTGTTGAGACTGTCCTATTGATGCGATTAGTGAGACTCTAGAGACTTTTTACAGCAATGTTTCATTTTTCCCCTTGCTGAACATAGGCAAAAAAAGTTCAACTTTTTTGAAAAACTGCTCTGTCTGCAGAAGAGAAGTATCTTTATTTAGCTTTGCAAAAAAAGCTGGGATTGGTGTTGAAGGCAGTCTCTGGGGAAGTGCCCTGTGAGGCCCAGGTAAGAGCCCGGGGAGTAAGCTAGCCTTGTGGATATCAGAAACCATTTCCCTGCCTTTCAAGCAATAACAGCTCCAGATCCATTAACAGGCTTGATTGAAGGACAGATGTGTTGTTTGATCTTGCATATTAATTTCACGATTATCAATGTGTAGCGGCAGCCTTATCTTATATCAGGAATTTATGGCCTCTGCTGTCTGAGGTGAGGCCCAAACAAACAGATTATTTAACATTCTGTCTTGAAGTTCTATCTCAGGATCCTTTTCCAGCTGCAAAACAACAGAAATAGAAATGGAGGAAGTTGTTTAGTCACTCCGTGCCTCAGTTTCCTTGTCTGTGAAATGGGGAACATAATAATAGTACTTACCTCCTAGGGTTTTTGTGAAGGCTGAGTGAGATATACACCTAAATACCTGGCACTTGATAAATGTTGGCACTCTTATCATCAGTACTATCGATATTGCTAATATGAACTCATGAATAATGTTAAAAGGTCCCAATTACATGGTTTTCAAGCAGATTTTCTCTGAGAAAAGGAAATTTTTTTCCTACTTAAAGTTGAGTTTTCTTAGTTTAAAAAAATACTGTAATCTCTGCCTCTTTTTGTTTTAATTCTTCTTTTGTTTAAAAAAATTTTAAACTTTTTAAAATGTTTTTATTGATTTTTAGAGAGAGAGGAAGGGAGAGGGAGAGAGATAGAAACATCGATGAGAGAGAAACATTGATCGGCTGCCTCCTGCACGTCCCCTACTGGGAATCAAGCCCGCAACCTGGGCTTGTGCCCTGACCAGGAATCAAACTGGTGACCTCGTGGTGCCTGGGACGATGCTCAGTCCACTGAGCCACAGTGGCCCCGCTTGTTTTAATTTTTTAAAGACTTCACTAGTAATCAAAGGTTAAGGGGCCCCTAATTTTTTTTTCTGAAGGCTTGTATATGAACCCACAAGTCTACAATTAACGGACACAACTTGGTTTATTAAAAATAATCAATAGGGCATTCTGCACTCAATCCAAAAGGAAATGCCTGTTGACTGGGAGCTGTTTCTCCTTTGTGGCCATCCCTACTTTTTTGTCTTTCCTAATTTATTAGCAGTAACCATCATCATCATAATGATCAAAATAGCTGTGAATCCCAGCACCTTCCTTGCAGTGGCTGTGCTGACGGCTTTCTGTACGTTTTACCTCACAGCAGGCTGCACAGGTGTCAGCATTTCCATTTGGCAGGTGAAGGACTGAGGGTTACTTTTTAAATTTATTATTATTATTATTTTTAATCCTCACCTGAGGATATTTTTTCCATTGCTTATCAGAGAGAGTGGAAGGGGGAGGGAGAGAGAGAGAGTGAGACATGGATGAGAGAGACGCATCGAGCGGCTGCCTGGCCCCCTCCCCGACCAGGACCGGGGATGCAGCCTGCAACCGAGGTCCGTGCCCTTGGCCAGAGTCAAACCCAGGACCCTTCAGTCCGAGGGCTGATGCTCTAACCACTGAGCAAAACTGGCTAGGGCTTAATTAATTTTTTGAAGATTTTAAAAATTGATTTTTTTACAGAGAGAAAGGGAGAGAGAAAGAGAGAGAGAAACTTCAATGTGAGAGTGTAACATCCATTGGCTGCCTCCTGCATGCCCGCCACTGGAGACTGAGTCTCCAACCTGGCATGTGCCCTGACTGGGATCGAACTAGCAACCTTTTGGTGCACAGGATAATGCCCAACCAACTGAGCCACACTGGCCAGGGCTCAGTTCCATTAAAACAATATTTTATTTTATTTTTGCTGATTTCAGAGAGAGAGAGAGAGAGAGAGATACATCCTCTTGTTGCTCCACTTCCTGATGCATCATTGGTTGATTCCTGTATGTGCCCGACCAGGAATTGAACCCACAACCTTGGTGTATCAGGACAATGCTCTAACCAACTGAGGGCTCAGTTCCATTTTTTTTTGTGCAGTATGAAGGTTTAATTAAATCTGTGTCATTTCAGTAATGTAGGGAATGGCTAACTTGCCTTAAGCCTTTGAAGAATTTACAGGTTATTTGTATAGAAGGTGTATATTGACAGCTCAGAATTCAGATGGCCATGTAATCCTCCGCTAAAACCTTTACGTGACTGGGAATTTGACCATAGTAGTTTAGAAACACTGATATTGAGCTGTTTTCAGGGAATAAGCTTATCTCCTTTGTGACTGAAGAAAATTTTGATTTGTTTCTGTACCCTTAATAGATTAAAAAATAAAAAAGTCACCTGTCACTTTTCCTTTAGAGAGGGAATGAAAGGGGAGCTCATGCTGTTTTACTACGTAAATAAGCGTTTTTGTGTTTCAACACAATTGTATGCTTCATAATTACCAGCCCTTTGGGAAGTATTTTGCAAAGACACTTAGATTACCTATGCTGGAAAAATGCAGACATGGCTTTTATGAACAGGGTTAGTACAGAGCTGTTGGTTTTGGTGTAGCGCAAGATATCAGGAGTAGGGATAAGCTTTGCTTCTGATTGCTGGAAGGACAGATTCCCTGGGTCTCAGCCTCCCCAATCTATAAAACGATTTATTTCTGTTCTAATTTTAGTCCCTGTCTTTTGTTTGTACTCAGGAGTGTTAAAGATTTCAGATTAAGTACCGAATAGCAGTCCCTTCCCTGAAGCAGAATTCAGCATGTGCTAGTGAAGCTTTTAGTTATAGTCTCTGAACATCCTGTTTTTAAAACCCTTACCCACCCTTCCTCGGTATGCCCGCAGTGTTTCCCTTTTCAGCAACCTGAAGGCCTCTTCTGGCCGTAGGTGGCGCTGTTGTGTCTTTTAAAGTCTGAATTTCTGTGTTTGTGAAAGGCTTAAATACATCCCTTTAACTTGATTCTGTGTTTAATGCTTCAGAATAGCTCAATCTCTGGCTACTTGAAAGAAGTGTTCTAGTTATAGCTTATTTTTATTCTGTCACCTTAGCGTGAAAATTTTAGACAGGTTGTGTGAACAATGATGAAATTGGGCCTTTTTTCCAATGTTAGAAACCAGTCAGCCATGATGTTGTAAAAAAAAAATAGAAATCATCTCTGGAGCACCTTAAAGAAGAAAACCCTGTCGAAGTCTCTGGGCACTAAACCCACTGTTTGTGTTAATTCAGGAGGTGATTTGGTGCCGTGGATGGAGCCTGGTTGATTGGCTGGGATTTGAATACACAGACATTGCTAGCCATTCACACGAGACAGTTCTTTCTATTCTTCCCTTGTCCGTAAAATGGGATGCTCCTACCTGCTTTGTGGAACTGTGGAATTTAGAGAGAAATTATGTGAAGTGTTTAGCCTAGTGGTTAGCTCATAAAAGAGCTCGTAAACTTTAGCTATTATTTTGTATGGAGCCATCATTTTATAGTGTTTGTCAATGACTAAGGAATGAAAATAGGAAAAGATGGTTTTATGAAGAAAGATCCAATTAAGAAATGAATGAAATACTTGAGGAGGATTAGTAGTTCCTACCCTCACAATTTAGCAGTAGCAGAGGTAGGGCCATGATAGAGTCACCCTGAAGCTACTGGAAGCCAAAGAATTATTTGTTAATTAGAATAAGTTGGGGGTTAAGGAGATCCAATAATGACATTCCTATTCTCTGCACCAGCCAATTGAGAGATGAGACAAAAGAGTAGGCAGGCGGAGATACATGTGACTTTTATTACTGATAAGGCCACTTTAACCATGAATTTTAGGGCTACAGGAAAATGGATATCTTGATACTATACTCCGGAACTAGACGGACTCCCCAGTGCCTGGCAGAGGCCAGATAATCAGATTGACCAG